TATAAAACTAACTTAGCAGTAGTACGGTTTGAGCCACTTCCCGTTGATGGGATCCGTTAGTGTGCCTTCTTTGATACAGACCAAGCGATAATAGCCGCTGCTGTAAACTTCTTTGACTGCGAATGGTCCTTCCCATTGCGGAGCAAACTTGGAAGGTCCCGATACTTGTCTTCTCACATGCTCGACGACTTTTAGCACAAGGTCTCCTTGCTTGAAGGCTTGCGGCTTGACTGTTCTGTTGTAAGCTTGGGCAATAGTTTTGTGGTAAAGTGCTGTTCTTCTTTCGGCTTCCATTATTTTCTCATCCAAAGCCTCGATGTCTAACAAGCGCCACTCTGAGCATGTCTTTGCATCCCATTCAAGGTCATTGACAGCCGATACTCTAGCAGTGGGGACAGTGATTTCAACTGGCGATATGGCATCGGAACCATACACAAGCGAATAGGGTGAGAAACCCATGGCGCTCCTTGGAGAGGTGCGGTAAGCCCATAAAGCATCTGGCAGGTGGATACTCCAACCTCCCTCATACTCATACACCATTTTGCTTAGGATTGTCAACAAAGTTTTATTTGTAGCCTCTGCTTGACCATTTCCCTGCGGATAATATGGCATGGAGCGACGATGCTTGATACCATAGCCATTAAGTGTCGAACTCACTTGCTTGTTAACAAATGGGGTACCATTGTCGGTGACGATCTTGTATGGGATTCCGAATCTGCAGACAATGTATTCACGGATGAAATTTGCAATGGCAGCCCCCGTGGCTTTTCGAAGAGTAATTGCTTCAACCCACTTTGTGAAATACTCAGTGGCTGTGAGGATCCATATATAACCATCGGAAGGTGGGTGGATAGTTCCGATCAAGTCAAGCCCCCAAGTGTGAAAAGGCCAAGGAGTACGCATGTCCTGCAATAACACGGGAGGCTTGTGACTTAAATTAGCATGAACTTGACACGTATGACACTTCTTCACGAAATTGTATGCATCATTCTTCATGGTGGGCCAATAATACCCAACATTCAGCAGCTGCCGATGGAGTCTTTTCATCCCTTGGTGTTCACCACATTCTCCAGCATGAATTTCCTGCATCACTTGCTGCGCTTCAGATTCTCCTAAGCATCTCAAAGGTTCGCCATTAAACCCTTTGTGATAGAGAGTGGGTCCATCTATGAAGTATCTCTTTAGTGTCTTTTTGAGCTTGTGGGCATGCTTAGTGTTGCTTGGTAGAACTCCTTCAATAAAGAAGGCCAAGTATGGCGCCCTCCAATCTTCCGCAAATGAAATGGTGAATGACTCTTCGGTGGAGGGTATTGTTGCACAATTGGGACAATTGGTTTGAACTTCAGCTGCTTGTTTCTTAATAACCTTTGCGTTGCAGGCATCGATATAGGCTGACTATTGGCTCCAAATTGCAAGTGGCTTCATGTACCTCTCGGAGCCTTCTTTGTGCTTCTGTCAGTCCTATGCAGCGGGTCAGAATATCTCCCGGCAGGCATCTGTAGAGTTCGCTGAAGATAACCACATAGTCCTTTAAATCCTTGATGTTGCTTCCTTCACTCAACCTTTCTTTTACAGATTTTCTCCAATCGTTTTCTTCCAGCGGCTCCTCTTGAGCCATTGCTTCGACTGTTGGAACCTCTCTTCTTACTACGGTGATGTTGGGTTGCTCTTGGATGAATGAGAGCTTTGATCCCAACGTAGCCAAGGCATCTGCATACCTATTAGTGACCCCCGGGATATGTTCCAGCAGCACCTCCTCGAAAGAACTGACAAGATTTTCAGCAGCTGTGCAATATGGCGCTAATGTTGACTCTTTCACAGCGAAGCTTCCTTGTAACTGACTTAGCACCAAATTTGAGTCGCCAATGACTTTAATCCTTTCTATGCCCATTTCCTTTGCTGTAGACAATCCCATAATGAATGCCTCATACTCCGCCACATTATTTGTGCATGGGAAATTTAGCTTGAACGAGAGGGCCATGGCTGGCCCTTTGGGGTTGATGAGTACCACACCTGCTCCTCCACCATTTGATGTAGAGAACCATCAAAGTAGAGGGTCCACGGTTCCTCCTCTGTAACAACAGCCACTGTTTCTGGCAACTCTCCCAAAACCTCCTCCGAAAGAATCGATCTTTCTTCTTCAGGAAATAGAGCAAGCATGTCAATCACAGCTTGTCCTTTGATGGCCCTAGGAGTTGTGCATGTGATATCAAATTCGGACAGCTGCAATAGCCACCGTGCAAGACGTCCGGACAGCACCGGTCTTGTGAGCAAGTACCTTACGGGGTCAGACTTCACTACGAGCTGTAGCTTATGAGCGAGAAAGTAGTGACGCAAGCACTGCGGAGCATAGACAAGGGCAAGGCATAAGAGCTCGGTCTTTGGATATCTCGTTTCAGCTCCCCTTAATTGCCTACTCACATAGTAAATAGGGCCTTCTTCTCCACCATGGTCGTTTTGAGCAAGTAAGGCCCCAACCGCTGTATTCGTTGCAGCTAGATAAAGCTTGAGAGGAAGTCCCGGAATGGGTGCTCTCATGGTGGGCAGCTTGGTGATTATTTTTTGTACTTGCTGATAGGCCTCTTGACATTCCTTGCTCCATTTGTATGGCCTGCCCTTCTTGAGTAAGGGAGCAAAAACACTCATAATGGCAGCAAGGCCTGGAATGAAGCGCCGAATATAGGATAATCTCCCCATGAAACTTTTCAACTCCTTTGGATTTCTTGGAGGCGCAAGGGAATTTATAGCTCTTGTCTTTTCTGGATCTACATCTATGCCACGCTGATGCACTTGGAACCCCAAGAATTTTCCGGATGACACTCCGAATGCGCATTTTTTGGGGTTCATCTTTAACCCATACAGCCGACACCTTTCCAGCACCCTTCTCAGCACCTCTCGATGGCCTTCTCTAGTTTGTGATTTCACCACAAGATCATCCACATAGTCTTCCACCTCTTTTCCCATCATATCGTGAAACACCGCTATCATGGCTCTTTAATAGGTGGCACCGGCATTTTTAAGACCGAATGGCATGACCGTGTAATAAAAATTCCCATATGGTGTTCGGAAGGCTGTCTTCTCAGCATCTTTGGGTCACATTTTAATCTGATTGTAGCCGCTAAACCCGTCCATGAATGACAGCAAACCTTGACCCGAAGTTGAGTCAATTAGGATATCCATGTTGGGCAGCGGGAATTCATCCTTTGGGCAAGCTCGGTTGAGGTCTCGATAGTCCGTGCATATTCTAATCACTCCGGTCTTCTTTTTCACAGGAACAATGTTTGCTAGCCATGTTGGGTGCTTGATTGGCTTGATGAATCTGGTAGCTAGTAGCTTTTCGACTTCCACTTTGATTTGTCTTTCAATTTACGGATGGAAATTCCTTCTTGGCTGCACAACAGGTTTTGTACCAAGCTCAATATTCAAAGTATGACTCACTAAGTTTGGATCCAAACCGGGCATTTCCTTGTAGCTCCAAGCAAATACATCTCTGAATTCTCTTAACAAAGACACTAAGGCCTCCTTCTCTTCATTTTTCAAATGAATGCTGATGGAGATAGGCTTTGGGGCAGAGGGGTCGTCACCCAAGTCGATTGCTTCCAGCTGCTCAGCTACCGTTGTCGATCCATCTTGCATGTGTCTAGGGGCTGTCATCGGCTCCTGGAAAGCACAAGACGTGGATGTCTTGTCATCTGGACCCTTATGGTTGTTTGTTTGCATGGCTTCTCCTCCATACTCGGGGCTTTCCCATAGGATACGGTCGAGCCCCCAATCCCGTCATAAGCGGTACACGGTGTGTCCATCTGGCACATCACTTTCGAGCATTGGGGATGATGGTAGGCATGGTTGTTGGCTTCCGAGTGTCTCTTTCTTTCTCGCTCAACGATGGTGATGAGTTCTTCGTTGCTTAAATCACGTATTTCAGTCCATGAAGGTAGGTAGATTCCAAAATCCTTAGAGGGGCTGCTTCCAGCGCCTGTGCACTCAGTGTAAAATTCTGCCTCGGAGTAGTGGGCTTCGTCTCTGTTGAACGGTGCTTGATTCCCAGGTATTCGAAGTGGTCTTAGCCCAATCCTTCCCTTCACGCACTGATGATAAGTAGAGACCACAAGTTTGTGCTTGTTGAGCCATGGCCTTCCAAGTAAAGCATGATAAGCCACATCTACATCTACCACGTAAAACTTGGTAAGTGACCTGATTGGCCCCACTTTCAAGTTTACTTGCACGTGCCCGACTGTGACCTCACTTTTATTCCCGAAACTGTTGATGCTTGTTTGAGATTGCACTATTTTGGACAATGGAATACCAGCTGCCGTAAGCACAGACAGAGGCAATATGTTGACAGAGGAACTTGTGTCCACCAAAGCTCTTCTTATAAACACATCGTTGATTTGTCCTTCCAAGTAAAGTGGTCTTCTATGATCTGGATATGGAACTTCCATGTCATCATCCGTGAAAATGATAGGATTATCATTTCCCAAGAATGACCTTTGTGGTTGAGCAGCGAAGCAACGAGGATTCGACTCCGCAGAGATGTTCATGAGAGCTATAGCAGCTGCTTCTCTTGCTTGAGGCCCAAAGCCAAGTTGGTCAAAGAGTGACTTGAATTTCGGATTCCTTTGGAGGACTTGCGAGGCCGTGGGTCCCTACTTCAGACTTAGATAACGTTCCATCACACTTGTTTCGGCCTCCGTAAGGTTGTGAAACGTTACAGCAGCTGTTTCTTGCTGCAGAGATGAAGCCCCCAAGTAGCATTCTTCCGGCACATCCATCGAAAAGACTTCATTGCTTGTGCTATCATTCCATCCATCAGCAAACGGCCATGGGGTATTATAACTTGAAGGTTTCGAATATTTGCACTAGTAAGCCTTCTCCATATTTCCGCAAGGTTCCCACATAGCCTCCGGTGGCTTCGGGTCATTCCTCCAGGGGTGGCACAACTCATCGTCGTCGAGCAAATCATCAGAGCACGTGATGACAGCAGCTATCTCTTTTCCTCTTCATTTTGGCAAGGGGTCTTCATCAATGGTTTGCTTCCTAGAGGGAAGCTCGAGGACTCCCTCATGTATTTTAGCATGTAAAATCCTCCTTAAGCTCTGACAAGTTGTGCTTGGATGCCCTACAAATTGATGGTAACGGCAGTACCTAGGAACATTTTTCTCCTCTCGGGGGGGGATTTTGTAAGGTCTGAGAGGCTTGATTGCACTGTCAGCAATCATTGTGTCCAGAATGGCATGGAATTCTTCGTCTTTGCAAGGTAATGGCGGGTATGTCTCCCTATCCTTTCGCTTGCGTGAGTTGTAGTCATCCGATGATTTATCGTCCACAGCCAATGTCTGATGCGCCTCCTTCTTCTCACTCCTCCAGCTTCTCTGTCCAGCTGGTTTGACAGACATACTTGTCTTCCTTACTGCTTCCAGCAGCCGAGAAAATTGATTGATGCCAATGTTTTCCAAATAGACTCTATAATCTGTCACGATATTGTTGATGCAAATTTCGACCAGCGCCTCCTCATCCTTTTCGTCATAGCAGTCCAAAGCTAGGTCCCAGAACCTGCATACAAAATCAATGGGATCCTCCCCATGTTTTTGGCGAGTGTTGTTGAGTTGAGTGGTTGTAACTCTCTCCTCATGATGGAAATACTTTTTGCAGAACCTATTGACCAAATCTTCCCACGAACGAACAGAGCCTGGTGCTAGTGTCGTATACCATGTATAAGCACGGTCGGTAAGGCTCTTTGAGAACTCACGGAGCCGGAGATTATGGTTGCTAGCACGTGGTCCCAAGGCATCAAGGAAACGGTTGACATGCTCCTTCGGGCTTTCTTTCCTCCCACCGAAGAGGAAAAAGCCTGGTGTTTCATAGCCCTTAGGATATGGTTGTTGGAGCAAGCTTGATGGATACGGCGGTTGAGGAATATACTTCCAATCCTCTTGGCTTCTACTCAGCTCTTTTTCCAGCATAGCAATGACATCTTCTTGGGTGACAAAAGATGGTCCCTTTTGTTCAGACCCTTTTCCAGGAGCAGCAGACTCCTTTTGTGGGTGTTTCTCATTTTCTTCGCTTGGCTTAGAGACCGAACTTTTCAGCTCCTTGATCGTGTCTGCCATCTCCTTCTGAGTTTCTCCCATGGCACGGATGGCAGCGATGAGGTCTGAGAGGGTGAAAGCTCCCTCACTTGCACGCCCTTCTTATCTAGAGGAGGCATTTTTCCTTGATTCCGAATCACCATGGTCTGGCCCCTCTTGAGAAGTCATGTTATTGCTTCTAGTCTTCTTCTTTGGAGGCATCGGTTCAGATATTGGCTTAATCCCCAGTGAAGTCGCCAATTTATGTAGGGGTCTTTTTCTTCCGGTAGCAAGTGGGTTGGGCTACTGCAAGGAGAAATCTGATGCAAGTGTCCCCTTTGTATCTGAGTCCGAAGATTAAGCCCCAAAGATGTCTCGAAAGGGTGATGACGCCTTAGGAAACTCTTTGGTTATCTTTACCAATGAAAATAACAACAAATTGCAAGTAAATCTTTTAGCTTGGCATGAGAGAGTTATGGCATGGGAGCAAAAATTATCATGGGTTTAGCACTTTAGGAGAGAGAGCTACGGGTTCCTATGAAGATCAGGGGTACTAATGGAAGGGAAGAGGGGTTCTAAGGAGGTTTGGTGAAGAGGGAAAAGGATGTTGAAGAGTTTTGGGTGATTTTCGTATTTTCCGGCAGCTTGACAGTGACTCTGTCAAAGTTTCTGTCAATCTGTCTGCCGCGCAAATCTCACGGCTTGGAGTTCCGGGCCGAGGGGATATGGGTTGACAAGCGGCTTCCTGCTTTTGGGTGCGGTGCGGTTGTGCGCGGGCGTGCCAGCAGGGTCTACCGTGCGTCGAGATGTTGATGAGTGTAGGATGGATAAGTGGTGCGCCTGTTTGAACTCGTCTTCTAATCAAACGATTGTAGCCGAGAGAGGAACTAGTCTCGGCTGTTAGGTTCACGGCCTGAACTACAAGGCCGTTGAGTGATGGTGTTGGTGGTGGGTTTTGGGCGGTGCTCCGGCGCGTTGCTCAGGGAGCGACAGTCGTATGATATATGGGGTGAGTGAACGAACAACAGGGATGGTGCTCCGGCGCCTTGGAAATCAAGGGTCGTATGATATATTGATGAATGAATTTTCCTTACAGTCTAACACTACTCCTAGGAAAGCAAGTAAAGATATTGAAAGTGCATTACAGGAAAAAATAAGTTGCTCCGTGGGAGGCTTTGGTTTGGTGTTTGAACCCTTTGAATGTAGCTTGAGCCTTGTATTTATAGGAAGAGTTCCTGGAGGAGTAATCGAGGCTGAAAATCTGCATGGT